ACACCTGAGAACTTCCATTTACAGACATCAGTCAAAGAAATTCTCCAAGCAAACAGGATTTCACAAGCACTGAGAAGACAGAGGAAGTAAAATGGAAGTTCTACGAAGACATACTCTAAAAGGAAATTTCCATACTGTTAGATTTTGATCAGTATTTCAGGTTCTGAAGATTCAGAACAAGAAGAGTTTGTCTTTTGCTATTATTGATCTCAATAGAACAACTGAACTCACTGAAAATCCAGAAATAAGTGAAGCTGTGTTTAGAGCAAAAGAAAGGAAAGAATTTTACATGCTTTTCAGAAGTTATGGAATATTGTAAGCACATGTTTAAACTTTGGAAGACAAGGCCATTTTCAGGATGCTTTGTCAGGAAGACTGCATTGTTCTCCAAGGATTTTACTTCAGTATTGCTGTGTTTTGGGTCTGCACTCTCCCCAAAGGCTTGGTCCCCCACTTGGCATGGTCCAAAGGTAGTAGAACCTTTAAGAGGGGGAGTTTAATGACAGGAAGTGAGGTCACTGGAATGTGCCACCTTGTATGGGATATGGAGTACCCATCTTCTTCCTGTTTTCCTCTTGGTGCTTCCCAGATGCCATGAGATAAGCAGCTCCTTTCACCATGTGCTCCCACCATGATGTGCTGCTTCACAAGTCCAAATCAACAGGGCAACCAAGGACTGGGGCCTCCAAAACTCTTTTAAGTTTATTATCTCAGGTACTTCTTTACAGCAATAACACAAATTCCACCCCAAATATGTGTCATTGTCCTCACAGAATGCCTTTTCTCTAACTGAAATTATGCTGCTACAGTGAAAAATAAAAATTATTCTGAAATTACTTTTCTAAAGAATAGAGTGTTACTCTGTTTTCCAGGCTGATCTTGGGTTCTTAGGATTAAGCAATACTCCTGCCTCAGCATCCTGAGGTAGTTGGGACTATAAGCACTATAAGTCACTAAGCACCGTGGCTGGCTTGGAAAGCAATTTTTTAAATCCCATACAATATTTTATTTTAAACTGATTTTTAGATTTTTGCAATACCATGTATCTTCATTATCTTAGTCACTGTCTTCCTGGCTGTGACCAAATATCCAATACCTGCAACATAACGGGGAGAGGTTTATCCTTGGCCCATGTTTTTGAGAGGTTTCTGCTGATTCTAAAGCAGGAAGGCAGACGATGGAAGGGGCTTTTGGAGGAAGACTAACCACTTCATGATACCAAGAATCAGAGAGAGCAGGAAGGAGCCAGGCAGGGAGATAGATCCTGACAAGTGTAATGGTTGATACGTTGCATCAACTTGAGAAGTTTAGAAGCTTAACTAAAGGCTTCATCAGGGAGCCAGGGGCCTCATTTTGTAAATTCCTGTATCTTATGTGAAAAGAGAGCAGGAACATGGTAGGTACAAAGGATCCGCCTAGAGTGGAGAGCCTGCATGCTGTATAGGGGAGGAGAAGAGCCTCACTTCTGTACCCACCTTTTGCTCATGTTGCTTTTGCTGTCTTCTGCAGCCTTTAAGTATTGCCTGCCCCTATGCCATGCCACCCTGCCTTGGAGCCAGCTGATTACAGACTGAAACCTCCACAAACTATGAGCTAAATAAACCTTCTCTCTAATTTTGAGTATTGGGTATTTTCTCTCAGCAATGAAGGAAAAGTAACTGAGACAACAGGGCACCCCCTGACCTGCTTCTTCTGACCAGACGCCTCCTGACAAGTCAGCTATTGCTCACCCATAATCTAGTCAGTCTCCTAAAAGTTCCACTCTGAGTGCAAGAATCTGCTGGGGCACATCTAGACAGAAACCATCCCATGCATGGGAATATAGCTCTCTGTGGGGAAAAAAAGCCTAAACTAAGTCATGCTTACAAAAGGGGCACATTAAATATAAGAACAATGCTTTGGTCTAAAATAAAAAGTGCATACACTAATTCAAAATAAGCTGTCATGTCTACACTAAGGTTAATATACTTTAAGACAAGAAATACACACCTGGGCATGGTGGTACATGCACGTAATCCCAGCACTAGGGAGGCTGAGACAGGAGGATCATTGCGAATTTGAGACCAGCCTGGGCTACAGAGTGAGCTCAAGCCCAGCTTGAACTGCATAGTAAGACTGTCACAAAATGACAAACAAAAAGAAGAAAGAAGGAAAGGAAAGAAAGAAGGAAGGAAGGAAGGAAGGAAGGAAGGAAGGAAGGAAAGAAGAAAGGAAGGAAGGAAGCAAGCAAGGAAGCAAGCAAGCAAACAAGCAAACAAGCTTGCTGGGGAAAAGAGGCATTTTAAAATGCTAAAAGAGCAAATTCTTTTTTTTATATTTATTTTTTTATTGAGAAATAAATATGAATGAGACAGTTTCACAGCTGATTAATAGGACAGTTTTGATAGTCAATACACTGTACATTGTTATCTTCTTAGTGGTTATCCATAGTACAAGAAGCAGACAGGATATTCTGTCCAAACACTGTTAGTACACCTTTTTCTTCTCACTGAGTTAAGTGAAAGTAGTTGTAAATTTATCCTAACTATTTTGCATATATAAATACAAAATGATCTTTCCTTTGTATCTTTTTTAAATTTTAATTTTAATATTTTTTGTCCTGTCAGAGGTGAATATTCTATTGGCGTCTAAATACTATAGGTGTTTGAATTCAACTAAACAATCTAACACTGTCTAGCAGTCTATAATATTAGTGGGCTATCCTCAGAAGTTGTTGACTTGAGCCTTTTACAGCTCATTGTATTAATATGGCTTTACTTTATATAACTCATTTTTATACTTTTCTGCTGGATGGTTAAGACCAAGATATAGCAAGACCTATATCCCAAGGAATGTAACTTTTCTATCTGATAAGGTCAGCTAAATACTCTCAGGATTTATCCTGTAGCCCTGTACTGCCTTTTGTACATCCTTTTGTCAGTGTCTGACATGAGGATGAGTCACGGCCATTGCTTGACCAATTTGCTCTCTGTGAAAGCTTGAGAAATTTTTTTTTTCTCCATATGACTCTCCCCAGGCACACTATACATCATCGATCACATTCCTCTGTGGCTCCATAATCTTCTTGATCAGAAAATTTGGAGCACAACTGAGTTACATGTTGTTACAATACAGGTTCTCCTATGTCCCGAGTCTTCACTGCCCTTGATAAAAGAGCAAATTCAATAAAAAGTATAATCTATATATTCATGCATCTACTAGATCCAAAATACATACACTGAGAAAAACAAACAATTAAAATGAAAAATCAACCAGCCACAACTACAGGGATAGCTTTTAATGTACCTTTGAGTAATTTACAGATTAACCAATGAAAGTCACCAAAACACAGGTCTTCAACACTTTAATGTGTCAGCTACAGCCAACAACTGCAGAATACATTCCTACATTTCAAGTGCACGCAGAGCACTTAGTGAGCAAACCATGTCCTGCCTTATAAAATAATTCTCAATAAATTTCAAAGAACTGAAAACATGTGTATGTTCTCTATGAATAACAGAGCAATCCCATGTTTCAAAATGCAAAATTCTAAATAGCTCAAGTTTCAAAGCAGAAAACCAATGGGAAATAGAAAGATCTGAAAACGAAAAATAATGAAAATGTATAATAATGTAGAAAGCCAAATGTAGTAACACACACCTCTAATCCCAGTACTCTTGAGAGGATGAAACAGGAAGATCAAAACTTTAAGCTCAGCCTGGAGAATTTAGTAATTTAGTGATCCTATCTGAAAATAAGATAAAGGGGCAGATATTTAGCTCAATGTAAGAGCCCTGGGCTCAATCCATAGCACTGCAAAAAACAAACAAAAAACCCAGTAAAATAGACATCCAAAGTAGGGCTTGGGGTGAGGGGGGAATGAGATGGAGAGAAAGGGAAGGGAAAGGAAGGGAAGAGGATCGTGACGGCTCTGTGCATGGACCACTTCCTACAACACAGGCATTTATTATGTATCATGCATATATACTAATAAAAATGGAGGACAATGAAGTTAATATAAAACTAAGTTAGCCCTTAAGTTCAAAGAAAGCAGGTAGTATGAAGAGCATAAAGAAGAAATGAACAGATACAGGCAGAAAGTCAACATGGTCAAAAGCAGTTTCTTGGAAAAGATTAGTGAAACTGATGAGCCCAGTAGGGTCAAGAAAAGCTCACGTTGTCAGTATCAAGACTGAAAAAGGGGTGCTACTTGGGAGTCTCATACGTGAAAAAGGCTTGAAGGAGAAACCATGAATGACTTCATGCTCAAAACTGAGATTATCAAGAACTGATCTCTGGATGAGTCTCTGTCAACTTTAATGCATAATTTGAAATCTTCCTGTGGAGAAGCCTCTGGGAGAAGCCCCACTGCTGAAGTTTCAGTAAAGAATTCTATCCAACATTTCAAGAGGAAATAATGCCTAATATCTTACACAGAGAACAGAGAAAAATAGGATACTTTTCTAATCATCTTTAGGAGACTAATCCTTATAAACCATTATAAGAAAGGAAAATTAAAGGATGATATCTCTCATGAACATACACAGAAATCCAAAGAACAAGAGATCCTTACTTTTTTTTGTTATAGGAAAAATGAAAGTTGATTTAAGAAAAACAGTCAATCAGTGCAGTTTACCAAGTTAACAGAGTAATCGAAGAAAAGCCTTATAATTATTTCATTGGGTAAGAAAGAAGAATTTAATAAAATTTAGATTCCTATATGATAAAGACACATGGAAACCTAAGAATAGAAGGTAACATCTTTAATCTACTGCTAAGATTACGTTTTAAAAAATACCTTACTGCTACCATTCACTTAATTGTGGAATACGTGCAGTATATTCCACAATTAAAATAGTAAGTCTTTTTGAAAATTGAGATTCATTTACAATAGGAACTCATTAGGTATCATAAGCCTTGTCTTGTGTCTGTAACCAAAGTTCTGAGGGTTCCCCTACTCCTAGCCCAAGTCCAGAGAAGTAACGCTTGTCTTCAAAGAGGCACAGGGAGGCACACCTTCCTCACAAGATGTAGTCCATGCTGGAGGAGCGGGAGGAGTGGGAGGAGCGCTGGTGGGAGGAAGAGCACTTTTCCCAGCCCTCCCTGGGAAATGGTCTTCCTATGTAGAGAAGGATGTGGTTGGAACTTTTCTGAAATAATTCTAAGAGGTGTTTCTTGAACTTCTCGCCCACAAAAGCATAGATAACAGGGTTCATACAGCAGTGAGTGAAGGAAATGGTCTCTGTGACATGGGTGGCAGAACTCAGCCACTGGCTGATGCCACACCCATTCAAGATGTGCAGATTGTGCAGGGATGTGAGGAAGAGGACCATGTTGAATGGGACCCAGAAGACCAAAGATGCCACTACCACAATGAGCACCAACATGATGGCTCTGTTCTTCTGCTGGTTCTGGCAATTCCTCAGGTGGCGCAAGATGCTGACATAGCAGAACATAAAGATAGTGAATGGGACCAGCAGGCCCACGATATTAATTTCAAAGTGGGTGAAGATCTTCCACTTCAAAGCCTCCTCATTATAAAATGAGTAACACTTTAGAAAGCCATCTTCAGTGGCCTCTTGGTAAAATACTAACAATGGGCTGGTGACCAGAACAGTGGCCAGCCATACTGCCAGGCTCAGGCCAGTGCCTACCCTGGCTGTCCTCACTTTCATGGCATACACAGCATGGACAATAGCCAGGTACCTGTCCAGACTCATGAGGGTGATGAAGAACATGCTGCTGAAGAAGCCAATGTAATAAAGGCCAGAGACCACTTTGCACATTACATTTCCAAACACCCACTGGTCCAGCTGGTAGTAGGCTTGGAAGGGTAAAGAGAAGACAAAAAGCAGATCAGACAAGGCCAGGTTCAACAGGTAGATGTCTGTGATGCTCCTCAGCTTCTTGCAGGCCACGAGGACCAAGATGACGAGGCTGTTTCCCAAAAGACCAAAGACAAACAGGAGGCAGTAAATAGTGACAAGCAGCAACTTGCTGCTCCAGGTGCCAAGTCCCACCTCGCAGGGACTTGGGAAGACATCAGGATAGTAGTAATCAGTAACTGTTGTGGCATTGGGCTCAGGAGTATAATCCATGAAGACAGAGGGACCTGGTGAAAGCGATACAGAAGAGACATTAATTCCTTCATACTTTTATTTTCAAAGTCTAGGAGAAGGTAAAGATTGAATTGTGTTGCCTCCCGAATTCCAGTATAAAAACCCGCATTCCCAAAGTGACTGACTGAAGAGCTATAAGGGAGGCAGTAAAGGTGAAAGGAGCTTACAGAGGTGGAGCCTAGTCTCCCCTCTCAGTCCTCTGCCCTTTCTTCTTTCTTACATAAAATGAAAAAATTTAAAAAATCTCTCCTCCCTTCTTCCCTCTATCCCCCCTTCCCTTACCCCTTCTTTTTCTTGTACAACAGAAAAGCTGAAGTCCCTTACTTTTCAATGTAACCCGACACCAGCACCAACTACTGAAGCCATTGTGCTATGTGTTATTCCAAAAAATTTCTCCCCATCCTTTTACATTTGTCTGCCTCCATAATATTGTTTTGTATTCACTTTCTTCCTTTCTTCTTTCTTCCCCTTTCTTTTTCATTCTCCTTTCCTTCCTTGCTTGCTTTTCCTTCCTTTCCTCCCTCCTGCCTTTCTATGTTTTCTTTTTTCCTTCCCCTCCTCCCTTCTCTCCTCTTTCTCCTCTTTATTTTCTTGTGATACTAGAGATTGAACCCAGAACTTTCCCAATGCTAGGCAAGCACTCTATTACTGAGCTACATCCCCCGCCTCTTTTGTATTTAAGGGTCTTTCTTAGTCTTGCTAAATTGCCCATGCTGGCCTCAAACTTCCGATCCTTCTGCCTCAGCCTCAAGTAGCTGGGATTACAAGCATGCACCACCATGCCCAGCATCACTTTTAGCTTACATAAATTCTATGTTTCTCAATTTGTATTTTGCTTGTTTTAGAGACATAGCCACATGGTATTCATGTTTAGTTTATTCTTTTAGCTGTTTTTCTAAAAAACAGAAATAGCTCTTTTAAAAGTGCAATAGGGGGGGCCGGGGAGATGGCTCAGTAGAATAAGTGCTTCCCTGGCAAGCGCAAGGGTCTGAGTTCAATCCCTGGTTCTGGAAAAAAAAAAGTGCAATAGATAAAAATGAGCATAATTATATTAAAAAGTGAAAATGATCAGCTTTATAAGAAATAAATCTAATAAAATATATAATTCAAAATCCAGCAATGTAAAATATTATAGGATCGAGGGATGTAGCTCAGCAGTAGAGCCTTTGCTCAGCACTCATAACGCCCTGGGCTCCCTACTCAACAGCAAAGAAAAAAACAAAAAAGTTAAAGTTAAATTACTTCAAAGACCCGAGTAACAGAAAATATATTCTATCTGTGAAGACTGATTTCCGTCAGATGCACACTGAGGATCTGTTCTGTTCTCGTCCTATTTCCCACTCTTAAGAGAGCCTTGCGTCTCTCCCGCGTTCTCAGAGAGCATGGCCTGGCCTTGTCCGCTCACTCACCCCCGGGGGGCAGCCACGAAGACGCCTACGGAGGCTGCACACTTTGGGGCGCCTGAAGATGGAGAAATTCCACTCTGCAACAGCAGCCTGCTCGCTCCGCGGCTCCCTAAGCATCCCTCATAGCACGTTGGCTCCGAGACCTCGCCTTCATGGTTCCTTCTAACCCTGTGGTTTTTCTGTTCTTATGTGAGGTCCTACCCTGGGTTCAGATGTGGGACTTTTTTTTTTTTTTTTTTGTAGTATGAAAGGAAGAAAATATAGCAGCCCTTTCTTATCTTGATTTCACATTGACTCCACCTACCTTTTCATTTCAAAGGTTTCCACTTTTTTTTTTTTTTTTTTTGGTGCGGTTCTGGGAAACTGGGGTTGCCCCAGAGCCTTCACACTAAGCTCCCCCAGAGCCCTGTACGTGTGTGACTGAGCATGCACATTTCTGAGAGGTGGGCATATTAAGTCAGGAAGTTGCCCAGGCTGGGCTGGAGCTTTTGATCCTTTTGCCTCAGGCTCCCAGCTTGTCTCCACCTCAAAGGAGGCACTTTGCCTCAGAGGCTAGCAGGGGGTGACACTATTCCTCCTGACACACTGGGAGAATATTTGTCCCCAAAATGTGTTAAGATAGAACTCGTGAAAGTGAGCCAATGAACATAGTGAAAACCATTGCCAAGAAAAGCCACCGAGAGGACCCAAGAGCCTGCTGCTTCTCCTTGCAGCACAGTGCATATGCAGGCAGCATAAGGACAGAACCAGGGAATCTGAGGAGAACGTACAGATGCTCTAAGGAACTTTGGGGCTGACAACAGAGTGCAACTTAAGATAATGATTCAGAATTCAGAGGGTAAAGAAAGGGCTTCAACAAAACAACAGAGTTGTGCCATTTTTAATGGAAAACTAGTAGGAAAACGTTTAGAAGGTTTGTAAAAGTCAGACTGCTTAATCCTTTTTATTTTTCTGTTCTATGTTTGCAAGACATAATAAATACATTCATCATAGGGAATTGGTACGTATAGCAATTCCTGCTTATTTCACCTTCTTCCCACCACCTCCCAGTGCCAGGACCCCTTCCCACCCCGCATAATCTCTCTCCCAGATTCCTATCATCTATCTTTTATTTTGCTCTTTAAGTTACTTAAGATGGAGACCTTGCTGTGTTGCCAGCTAGGCTTGAACTCACTCAGACTACAGGCTTGCACAGCTTTAGACCATTGGAAGATACTTTGTGATCTGGTGCCTAACAGGGTGGGTCATTATTGCCTGACTTGGAGACCCTATTGTGTCCTTAGCCCTTTCCTCTCTGGCCTTGTCCCCTCTCTGCTTCCTAGCTCCTGTGCCACGAGCAACTCTCCTCTTCTGTGCCCTTGCACATGATGTTCCTGCCTCACCTTAGGTCTAAAAGCAATGCAGCCAGCTCACCGTAGACCAAGACCCATGAAACGGCAAAACTAAGCCTTTTCCTCTTTCAGGGATTTTTTTTTTTTAATCAGTATTTTATCACAGTGATTGAACACTAACATGGAAAATTGGAACTAAGGGTGGGTCACTGCTGTGACTATAGCTACCTGACCATGTGGTCCATCAGTATTTGGAATTGCTTGTGGGAGGAGTTTGGCAAAGGTTGGAAAAGCATATCAGAAAAAGCAGGGTGAGCACAGAAGACCAGAAGGCTGATAGAAATGCAGGAAGGAAAGACTGTGCTCATGAGATCTCAGATCAGCATGAGGACCCTACTGAGGATTGGACAAGAGGCCATTCCTGTTGCATACTGGCAGAGAACTTGTCTACATTTTGTCCATGGTCTGAGTCTTTGAGACTGAATTTAAAGATGATGGACTAGTTTATCTGGCAGGAGGATTTTTGAGGCAGCACAGCATTCAGGTTGTGGCATGGGTATTTCTGGCTGCCATTAGCTAAGTTTACAATGAAAATCATAAACAAAAAGCAAAGCATCAAGATTTGCAAAACATAGTTTGGCCAGAAAAAGCACATCCAGATAAGAAGGGTGGTTTTTAAAGAGATTAATGCCATTCAAAAACAACCAAGTTCTTTGTACTGGAGCAATAAGAAATATGCCTTAGGGATATCTTGTGTATTGGCCAGATACCATCTATCACACACCTGAGTATAAGGTCCTAAACTTGCTTGAAAAACTACTTTGAAAAGACAGTGCTTGGATGTTCCGATCACAGAGGGTTACTTAGGAAATTGACTTTTAGTGGTTTGCCACTCAAGCACTCAGAGGATGCTGCAGTCATTGTCCAGCTACTGTTTGAATTGGTAGTAGATCTTGGCAGCATCTACATGGTGCTGTTTTTTTTAGGTATTCACAATACAAGAATTACAGGGTCATGGAGATTTCAAAGGAAGATCTGGGAAGACCAGTGGCATGTGGCAGAATTTGGAGTCCCTGGAGCCAGCCCTTAAAAAAACAAGCAATGCTGAAGTTGTGAGAGTTAAGTCAAAACACTACCAAGACCTCAAGAAATTAAAGATGACAGAAATATGAAGATCTGCTGAGGACAGCCACAGTGAGCAGAGCCAGCTCAGGGAGTGGCCATGTGGGCTGTTTAGGGGCACGACTGCTCAAGCCTTTTGACTTCATGTCATGCCAAATTGTGTCCCAGATGCTGAACATGGAGCTACAGAATTTTAATATGTGCCATTCTAGCTTTCAGTCTTGTTTCGCTCTGATTCCTCCTTGCTAGTTTTCCATTCCTTTTGGAATGGTAGTGCTTTGTGTTAGAAGTATGTAACTTGTTTTTGTGACTTGAACAAGGTCTCACTTCTAAGAATTTATGTTGAGTTTTAGAGGAGCCTTTGGAGTTGGACTTTTGAGCAATGCTGGAACTGTTAAGACTATGAAGACTCTTGGTTATGGACTGAATTCATTTCCACTGTGAGGTGAGCATAAGACTTTGGAAGCCAGAAGGGGACTATTATGGTTTAGATCTAGAATGTTCCCCACAGGCTCATGTGTTGAAGACTTGGTCCCTGGTTGGTGGCACCTCTGGGAGGTGGGGAGAGCTTCAGAGGTGGTGGAGCCCATTTGGAGAAAATGAATCAAAGGGCGTGCGGGCTTTTATTAGGGCCCTGGCCCCATCTCTATCTCTCTCATCTTTGTCTCTCTCTTCCTGAGCTGCCACAAGGCGAGCAGTATTCCTCTGCTGTGCTGTTCTGCCATATGTTCTGTCTCACCACAGGGAAGCAGTGGAGCCTACTGATCGTAACTGCT